CAGAGACCCCAGCCGCGATCCCCTTGTAATAGGGATCGTGCCTGAAATACAGTCAAGCTTAAACTCAAGAAATCTGCCTGCTCTAAGATCGGTGATAAGGTGTCCAGCCGTAACCTCATTCGTGGGATGCTTGCCTGTTCTTTGTGCCCCACACCCTAAACCCTAAACGCTACCTTTTTTTGGGGGGGGGTCCTTATAATAAGGATCCTACTTTTTTAGGGTACTATATTAGGGTCCCCTATTTTCGGAAATCCTCACATGGTTGGAGATGTAACGTTTTGGGTATGGGCACAGGTTTTGTGTACGGAAAAGCTAGGCGTGATTGGAATTTGGGTATAGGGCTGAGCAGGTTCTGCAATCGTAGTATCTGCAAGGAAAGATGAAAGCCGCAAAGTAAGCGCATCCATCCTGAAACTAAGCTACTTGGAAAAGCCCTTCGCTTTAGTGCGTGCTTCGGCTGGCCAAGCACGAGCTTGGCACAGAGATTTTGGGGGATGTGGAAGAGTCCGGAAGAAACATGCGGCCGCTGGGTTTAGAGCTTTGGGGTGCAAGTTTGTTCGAAGGGGCCGGGGGTGGGGGGGGGGAAGGGGCAAACACCAATCGCTTTGCCAAGGTCCCTAAAGCAGGTGAAACTTGTGAGTTACAGTTTTAACCACACTACAGCACTTGCCTTGAACCCCTAGTAGGCTTTGAGGGTCACGATCGAGGACTTGCGACATATATGGGATTTGTTGACATTTGCAACTATGTCAAACGATGAAATCATCCGCCAGCAATGCTTCTGTACCTTTGCCTTGGCTCGGGCTGCTCAGTTTAAATAAGTTTCAATAGCAAGAGGCCGACGATGGTTCGCTTCTCGGTTACTGGCTGCACTTTCGGATTCATCCCAAGTACCCTGCTACCATCTTTTTGCGTGTTAACGGATCCGGGTGATGCCAGAGAGGGCGCCGGGGTCCATCCCGTGGAAAACGCCTGCTTTCTCTAGGGGATTTGTTGAACTTCTATCGACTTTAAAGTCAAGCCTTCTATAGCGTTCTGAACCCCGAACGCTAAGCCGGAAGCCCCAATGCAGATGCTTTTGGGGTACTTAAGGCGCTGAAGGCACGTACTTGCGCAGAACCACACCAATTGACTGCAAGTGTTTGTGGTGCCGAGGCTCTAGAGTCCACCTACAGTCTCCATTGTAGTTCCTTTTTCTGGTTTAACCAATTTCATATTATGGATCCTATGAGGTAACCCCCAAAATGAACTACAATGAAGACTATAGGTAGACTCTAGAGTTGTTGGCTTGCTAGCGATGCGAACTGCAGCCTCTGCAGCAAGGTGTCGCAAGAAAGACGTGTAAGTAGCTACCGCACAGGCTGCTCTGTTTATGCTATGCATCCTTCAGATGTTTGATGCAGTTCACCACCCCAGATGATGTTGGGAAGGTCACAAGCGAACATGTGTTTGGAGCCTCCTAAAGTGAAAAGCATCATGACGGTAACCCCGCCTTGTGGGCATTCTGGCCTCTGTCGCATGACCCTAAGGGTCCTAGGCCTAGGCGTATGTCTCAGAACTTGGGAAGATAGTATTTTTTAGGGAGATGTATCGCGTGTTTGGACTGCGGACCCTTAGGCCAGAAAGCTGTGCCTCCCGGCCTCAGCCGGGAGTGCATTGACACTGGTTTGCATGCATGAGCTTCGACGTTTGGTGGTTTAGGGCCGCCAGTACAGCCGGTATAGGTCCAGCATCAATGATTTCCAGCCTGTCTAGCTTGCTCATGCCGCCAGCCACAAGTCGGATTGCTTGGCGCAGTTGCATGGCTGAGTTCATAAAGGGGCCTGAAGAACTGGAAATACATTTCCGACATGTCCTCAGGGCTCCATCTCATGATTTGGGTACATGTTGGTATTGACCGCACACAAAAAAAGCTATAAACCCTAAACCCTAAACCCTAAAACTATACTACCGACATTCAGGCCTCTACACTTTCTCATTCTCGAGCGGCTCTAAGCTCGACCTGTGAAGCCGCCTGCCCTGGTCCTTTGCACACCCTAAGCCCAGTAAGGATTGCAAAAGCAGAGCTCGGAACTCAGTCCTTACTCCTAGGTAGTGTTAGGGAGACCCCTTAAAGGGGACCCTTCTTCACCCTACTTTATGGCTCTCTTAAAAAAGGACCGTATTGAGAGGGTCTACGTATAAGGGTTCCCCTAATCCTATAACTCCCACTTAAGGCCCGGAAAATGTCGGAACCTGGTCGAACTTCAACTCTGGAACAATGCCCCCAAACACCCTGAAAAACCCGGGGGGCCCTAGATGAATCCTAGACCCGAACCCGCACCCCCTCCCCCCTTTCCCGGGCGACTCGCGGGTGTTGGGGCTATAATAGGCTATATGTTCCCTGTAAGAGGGGTTATAACTAAGGTTACCCTACTGATAACCCCCACGTAGAACTACCCATGAACCTCTAAGTGAGGAATCACCAACAGTACGTTGGGGTTCCTTGTCAGACTTATAGTATAAGACACCCGCTAGACCCCATTCTGATTATTTAGGCCCCTATAGTACAGTACCCACCATAGCCTTACTTTACTTACACCTACAGTCTACTCTTTGGCCCACAGACCCCAACTTGGGCACCCCTTATCAGGTCCAAGTATGTGCGAAGCTCTCAAGCCTCCCCAGCGAGGGAAGATGTGGGAGTTTCCTAAAATTAGGGGTACCTTATTTGGGGTCCTTCTAATAAGGATCCTACTATTTAGGGTCCTATATTGGGGTCCCCTATTTTCGGAGACCCCCATGTGTCTTGAATCCGTGACATGAGCCCCAAGCTCAGACCTTTATAATGGATCCGACAACACTAGAACACCCGATATGGTATCCTGCATGGGGTTTTGTGAGTCTATAAGCTATAAGCACCAGGCCCCAAAAACCTCAACCTCTAAAACCGTGCTGTGCGCAGCACGCTGGAAGCCACAAATCCTAAACCCTAGACTTAAACCCTAGGCAAAAAACGCCTACTGTACACTGTAAGATCCTCAGCGTCCTCATGCTTTGCACTCGTCCCTCTCAAACAAAACCACGAGAAGCCCCTTGCCCATGTACCAAATAAAAGTTAAGGGTTCAGGGTTTAGGGTTTAGGTCTAAGGGGTGAAGGCCTTAAGATTCCAGCTTGCCGGCACACGCCCAAAGACCGTACTGAAAAAAAGCAACACCACCATGCAACCCTTTCCGTTGTTGGGCAAAGCCCGGGCTGGCTGCGTTCAAGAGTCGAAGGGTTTGGGTGCCTTTGTGAAAGTTCTGTGAGGGTCTAAGTGCATAGGATTTGGGTCTTGAATTTGGGGCTTTCGGTGTTCAGCACTGCGGAGTTTCTTTGTATGGCTTGGCGTCTTGGCACCTTTTGGGTTTCGTGATATGTACAGACTTTTGGTTCATTGCTCTAGGATTGACGTGTTTCGGGGTTTGCACAAACCTAAAACCCTAAACCCATAGTGACAAAACTCCGAAACCCTGACTAAGCCCAAAGCCCTACGGCTTCAGCACGATCCTCATAGGCTGACTTCGGCCTCGGGTTTACGTTCTTAGGGTCCTCAAGCTCTTCACCTCTTGGAGTCTTCCCACGGTTCCCTTGAAGTCCATGGGTAGTTCTCGAAAGTAGAGTCCCTTTTAGGGCCCTTTTGTTCTCCGCATTTTTAGACCTAAAAAGGGACCCTAGTTTACAGGACGCTAATTTGCAAGAATTTGAGCTGAAGAGGGACCCTTTGCAGTAGTTTGAGCTGAAAAGGGACCCTAAGTAGTTTGAGCTGAAAAAGGACCCGAATCTAGGGTAGGTGGCCCGAAAGGCACTGAGCTAAACCCGGAACACTTCGGCTCCGGACCTCCGTTTCTAAGGTTGAACCCATGGGCCCCTAACATGGGCCCTTAGGGGATTCTAGGGTCCGTTAAGGGTATATATAGGGTATACAGTAGGTATACTAGGGTCCCATGGTTAAGGGCCCATACTAGGGGTTCATGGGTTCTACCTTAGACAATCGCAATCTACTGACGCGGCTTCCGCCTGGAAGTGGCGCATTGCTTACAGACAGCATAGGCCTGCAAACACCTGCAGAGAAGGCAAAACAAGAGCAAGCCCCAAATCCCAAACCCTCAACCCCTTTCCTATAGGGGCCTTAATAATTACCTGCACTATTTTGGGGTTCCTGATTATAGTTATAGCATACTATACCCCCAAAACCCTATTTTAATTATTAAGGTCCTTATATTAGGCCCTAAGCATTAAACCCTGAACAACCTAATCTAATCTTATCTATACGTCCAAACCCAAGAAGTCCCAACAGCCCAAACCCTAAACCACCACGCCCAACAGACCCTAAACGCCTAAGAGGGTTCGTGTCTGTGGATTTTCAGACATCCTCGGCATGTTGCTTTGTTGAGTCTCAGGTCTTGTCTGAGAGCTCCTTGATTTTTGTTAAAGGCAGGCTGCCTCGCCTCAAGGTGCGGGGTTTAGAGCAGGAGCTGTTGTTTAGAGGGGGCTCAGTTTGAGGATCATCTTTGACTGTTTAAATGATCTCGTTTCTGTCGCCAGTGGCCGAGTCAGAAGCACGAAACTTTAACCGAGGTATGGCATGTCACGGTGGTAGAGTTTCAGAATGTTGCAGGAGAGGAGCAGTAGACGTAGCTGTCCTAAAAGTTGAGTGGTAACGGTGTCAAGACGCCACCAAATCAAATAGAGCATTTGGACAGCAGAGCTACAATGACCATGTGAATTCCATTCTCGACATGTGCCCCGTAGCATTTCCGGCGATGCGATGGCCCAAGTCCAAAACATATCGCACACCCCAGCACTCATGCTCCTCTCATTTATTCAACCTGCATTCACCATGAGGCCCGGAAATTATGCTCAGCACTTCGAGCTTCCACCTTAAGTGAAACCGAGACGACATTCCAGTTTCGGAAGCGTGCCGTAAAGTTCGCACGGTTGAGCTGATGCTGGCAATGACCTGCGTCCACATGGCGTTATGTGGAGAGTGCAGGAAGCGTTCAAAGGCCACATTGACATACCCGGTTGTTCGTGTTTCCCGACGCTTGGTTGATGATGTGTGTTGCGTTGATCGTCTGCCTGCCTGCATGGACGCTTGCATGCGTGCATGCAAGTGCGAGGGAGCTTAGTTTGCGTGTTTGTTTGTCCGCATTGTGTGTACGTGTGCTTCAGTACTGGAATGTATGCAAGCAGAGGTGTATGCATACTACTACTACTACTACTACTACTACTACTACTCCTACTCCGACTACTCCTACTACTACTACTACTACTACTACTACTACTACTAGTACTGGTAACAACCATGTAAACTGCAATGTGCAATGTTCATGCATTTGTAAGTATGTGTGCTCGTGGGGCTGCTTGTGTTGGCGTCTCTAGCGCTCCAGACACGTACGTAAGTGGACAGAGTGGTTGCTTCGTGTGTGCTTGTTTCCATGCATATTTGTTTCGTTCCGAAGGGAAGTTAGCGATGCACGCAGCATCCAAATACATAGACTACATGTCTTTGTGTGTGTGTGTGTGTGTCACATGTGTCTCTGTGTCTGTGTGTGTGCAAACCATGCAGACAGCGACATGCGTGCATGCTTCAAGTAATTACGGTGCTGTAGGTTTCCATGTCATGGACGAGAACAGACGCAGGTCCTTGCAATCAACTTGGGGTCGTTTCCGTTGCTTGTACTTGCTTAGATTTCTTTGCTCCCGTCTTCGAGTACAAGGAATAATTGGGCTACTGTGCCTACGGGCTAAGCCCCTAAGCCCTTCGTTCCCATGTTTGTAGATTCGACTTTAGGTCGGGGTGCTACAGTGCTACAGTTTTTTTGTCTTTCGACCTCCTGAGCTCGTTCAACATATCCAAGTGTCGGACAGCCAACCCCTTACAGGGCTCAAAGCCTCGAGCCAGCCATTGATCCCTCAGTCTGTGCTCCGAAACCCAGCCCGAGACATTTTGACCGATCTGTTCCGGTTTCGGGAAAGCTCCCCTCGAATTCTCGCGAGGTGGTGGCCATGCAGCTCGCGCCTTTGCAGGGCATCTGGGATTCAAATTCGGTCATCTTGGAGAGAACCTTGGATTGTGCTTTGCTTAGGGGTCCTAGGATTTCGGGGTATGAGCGCTGTGTGCCGAAGGGTGGGTTCGCCACGAAGAGACCTGAGAGGCCGATTGCAATGATCGACAGGGCGGAGCTAGAAAGCTTTCAGGAGGGACTGCGGGACTGTCCATGCTGATAATGCCAAACCACCTTTCAAGTTTGGGTGTCAGCTCGTGTGTCTGGATCGAGGGGTTGGGAAGTTTCCGCGACTCACGCAATTGCTCTTTTGGGATTGGGATCAGCCCTGGCAAATCCCGGGAAGACACCGCACAGAGAGACAATGAGTGCATGTTCATATATATATATATACATACGTATGCCATCTCATCTCATGTGATATGTTTGTCATTTAATGATACAAATATGTGTGTGATATATAAAAGTACTTTCATCGTATATCATAAAAATTGCCCAGAACCGGCGGCTTGGTGCCAAGCTCCCCAGCTGACAAGCAGGCCTTTTGGGGAGGGATCCTCGAGTTTATATGGTTTAGGGTTTATGTTTAGGGTTTATATGGTTTACGGTTTAGGGTCCGATAACATATCGTTTGGTCTTTCTTTGGTCTAGGGGTATTATAAGGGCCTAAGCACACACGAAGGCTATATTGGGGGCTCCTTGTTATAATCACAGTATAACATACACCAAAATCCTATTCTGTAATTATGAAGGCCCCTACATTAGGGTTTGGGGCCTCCGTTTGAGGGCTGCTTTTGGGGCTTCGGGACTATATTGCAATGCCTGTGGTAGTAACTGGATAGTATGCGGTCTCCTGAAACCCTCACACCGGAGGTGTAAATCGGGCCTGAATCGTCAGAGCAGGGTTTAGGGTTTGGGGTTTAGGAGATGGCTTCATACTGCACTTCAACTAACAGGTGGCGATAAAATCACTGCTATCACCAATCATGCAGACTCCTATGTTGGGATGCTTGGCACGAGTCCCCTGGCCCGGAAAGAAGCATGCAGCAAACGGCTGAAGATTCACATGATAACAGGCCCCGTCCCCGAAGCCATCGAAGTAGCAATATAGTAGCTGTTTAGTCGAGATTTGGACCCCAAACAGATAGAAATACAAATGTATAAATAAATAAATAGATATAGATATATATATATATACACATGTGTATATAAGTATGTATATATAGAGACTTACAGTTGCTCGGACCTTTTGGGATAGAGGTATTTAACGTGCTGCCCTGTTAGCAAAGCATCGACATTTGAATCTCCCGTGTTTCATTTGCCTTGCACTTCCGAGCCGCCAGCTACTTTGCCAACCCTGCACCTCGTATTTTCTTCAGATCGCGCGCCGCGTCTTTGAGCCCTTCGTTGCGACATCGCCACCAGCACCAGCACCAGACTCAGAGACAGTTTGGGATCGATCAACGTGGGACCTGTGCGATGTGGAGGCATCATTCTGGGTAGCAACAATACTTGTGCTTGGCAGCATGAGTTTCATAATTTTGAGCGCCACCAGTCTGTCGGAGACGAACAGGGCCGGGGTCGCCGAAAGCCTCGGAAATATGTTCTGAATGCCGGTGATGCTTGTCCGAGCATGCGTAGAACCTTCTGCTGTCTGAACGTTCCATACATACAAGATAGATGTTGAGCATGTGTGGGTGTCCAAACTCCACATCAAGCCTATCTAGCAACATGACGGGCAACACGCTGGCAAAAAATGTCAGAACTCAAGCAAAGCCTGTCTTCGGAACGTATAACAAGCTGCTGACCCTGCGGCGAGATGTCTGCCAACTGTACTCAGACTGACACCACTGAGTGAGCGATCGGCTTTGTTTCTCCTCCTGCAGCTGATATTGAACTCTGAAGTTACTCTAGCCTTGCACTAGGAAAAGTTTGGCCCCGCCCAGTATGTCTCATTGCTAGTGTCGAAAGCAGAAAGAAGCTTGCTGAAACCCTAAATGTTTCAGATAAAAATATTCTGCAGAAGGACAGTCCCGAGGCATCAGATCTGCCCATGGCCCAAGGAGGTCTTTAGTTAGGTTTTGTTGTCGGCTTCAGGAGCGTATGGCGTGTGTGGTTTAGATTACCTACCAGGGCCTTGCCGGGGTTTGAAGGTCGAGGGTTTCAGCGGTAGTTTATGCTTTTGGAGATTGCAGCTCCATTCACAGCAAAAGCCCAAAAGTTGGAAAAACAAATGCGAAAAATCCCTGAGAGTAATGAGTAATGTATAAGGAACCCCAGCACTAATTGTCCTTATGCGGTTTCCAACTTCCTGGGGTTGACTGTAGGGTTGGGCTCAATCGTGATCTACTGTTGTTGTTGATGGTGATGCTGGGTTTATCGTTTGGGGCAAAGCTGAAAGACGCATGGTGTTTCCCGGTTTGGGATATATCTCGCTCATGTTTGACCAACCTTCGTCTCCTGACCCAGAACTCACTGAGCAGTTGCCTGTAGCCTACAGCAAGCAGCAACAAGCGTAGACTCCAGCATGAAAACAGTTCCGAACAATGGCAGTCGTGCTGTGTTTTTGCATACGAACAAGTACTCAGTGAGCGGCTAAGCGCAGACGCCAATCATGGCAGTGGACATTAGCAACACCTTCTGACGAGAGTCGCTGAAGCAAGAATGGAAGGTGCAACACACATGTGCGACAGTGCCAGTCGTAACGCTGCATGAAAGTCGCTATCAACCTTCGGCACATCCTTTATGTTTCAGGGTTGGAAATGGTTGAAACATGTCCCTTTGAGGTGGCTCGAACGACGGATGCGGCAGCGCAGACGAAGAAATCCTTCTGGCACCTCATGGGACGAGCAGAGGCAGCAGCTCAACCACGCCTGCTGTGGTTTAGGGATGTTTGGGATCTAGGCTGCGGGATCGCCGACTGTACCACGTCGCCACATGCTGGGCGCAGACGCAGAGATTCTAGAGTGGAAGCTGGCAGCGCCTGATTGGTGCTTTGTCGAAGCAGCTGAAAAAGGCTGCCTAATCTATACACCTTCGGAATACTCCTACCGTAATGATTGAAGACTGCCTTTGTGCTGTCAGTGGATCTGAGAAACCGAGATGGCTTTGTCAGGAAGCATGTATGAGATGTATGAGCGCAGACACCAAGATTGCATGTTGTAAGAAGTGCAACAAGTGTACAGTAACGACACAGCACTTTCTGATGATGATGCAGGTAACAACAAGCTTAAACATGAGGAGATCAAAAGATCAAACATGACAACACCGGAAACCTCCAGTTGTGAAAGGAGCGATGGCACCGCAGACAGAAACAGATGTAATTAATGGCAACCATTGAAATGGCATCGGCAAGTGCTAGGCAACAGGCGCAATCCGTCCGTGGGTTTTCGTGATAGGAGCCGGGACAAATATTTAGTTGATTACAGCTGCTGTCTTTGGGGGGGGGGGGGTCAAGCACAGAAAAGCGTGTGGCCGTGTCCCAGCACGCATTTCTTCGCAATTTTCAAGGCTGGCTGATTTCGCGTCATCAGCAGCAGCATCCTCGCTGGTAATGATAATGTACCTAAACCCTTAACCCTACTATTTCTTTTGATGCCCTGTGCCTGTACTGACTGAGTGAGAGAGGCACGGCAGACCTATCAGCCGGACGGGCCTGAAGGAGCCACATGTCTCGTGCCTGTACATACCTAGGGTTTGGAGGGTTTAGGGCTAGGGATATATATATATATATACATGCAT